TTCTGATGCTCCTCTCTCCATGATACAATAAATACACACTTACACTACACAATCTAACACTGAAACACTTCGAACACAATAAGAAAAAAAACTCCTTTTTTAGAATAAAAATTGAGTGCTTTTTACATACGTGCGTTGATGTGGCAGTTCCACAGCCGTTACCGACGGAAGCCGACAAACTGCGCCATCTTACAGCACTGACGAACACCACGAGCGCACGGCGTCCGCGGAAGCAGGTTCTCGTTCCTCGCGCGGACTTTTAGAGTGTTTTGTCTCGTTAGCCGAAAGTGGACCCTCGTGCCTCAGCTCGTTCGCTGCTGCTGTGGCATTTCGCGTTCATCGCCAGACATCGTGTCTATTACCCATATAATATCTCTCATTCTATTTTGCAAGCTTTATGTGAATAAAGTACATCGTTTGTGGTTTGTGAATAAGCCCCGTGTAGTACACATTACCTCTTTGTCGGACAGCAAATCACGACATTGATACCTCCACGCGCAGCAAAAAACAAACAACTGAATGTGCTACGGCGTTGCTCGTACATTATAAGAGTGAAGAAAGGTGACAGAGAAAAACGCATCTATATTCGCAAATTGCGATTCTTTTGTTTATGTAATGACATACGAGGTGGACGAGGTAAGAATTGTAATAATAATAAAATAATGATATTATATAAAAATTTAAAATATTTATAATAATTTTTTGATATTTTTCATTTCAGGAAATATGGAACAATTGTTTTCCTCATTGTTAATAGAAGAAGATAGTAAAGGGGCCAAGGCGACGGCGCCCGAGCCGCCGGCGGCCGGCCCGTCGACGGCGGCCGGCCCGTCGACGGCGTCCGGACCGTCCGCGGCGACTGGACCGTCCGCGGCGGCTCAAGCGCAGACGGCGGCCGGCCCGTCGACGGCGTCCGGCCCGTCGACGGCGTCCGGCCCGTCCGCGGCGTCCGGCCCGTCGCCAGGGAGGCGAGAAAATCAAATTAATAAAGAATTAAGATACCTAAAGGAGGTACGTATTATTTTTATTATTATTTCATCAGAAATGTTTTGATTTTTTTATCGTTTTGTATTATAATTTATTTCTTTTATATTACAGATCTCTGATTTAAAAAAACAGTTGCGACGCAAAATGTATGCGTCGAAAAAAAAATACAGAGGCAATAGAAAACGAGAAGGAGGAGGAAGAGGAGGAGGAGGAGGGAGAGGAGGAGGAGGAAGAAGAGGAGAAGGAGGAGGAAGAGGTGGAAGAGGAAATAAAAGAAATATATTTATTTTCAATTTATAGTAATAAAAATATAAGGATAAAATAAATATTGTTTCAAAAAAATTAAATAAATAATTATTGTTCTAAATAAATGAAATGCGATTTTTAAAATTAGGTTAAGACATTGCGGACCGGCAACTTTTCTGAAAATTGTGTGTGTATCTATTTGTATCAGTCCATGTGCCAAGGTAACCTTTTTAAAATGACACATCGGCAACCTTCAAAGGTGCCGCCTCGTTCGTAATGGGCCAATTAAACTTGACACATTTTTTGCTCTGTTTTATCGGTAATCATGGGAAAAGCATTGCTAGGCTATCAATTTACGATTCCAAACTTTTCGTCCTTATATGAGAACATTTTTTGGTCGTCAGGTACCTTTTCAGAAAGAGGAAAGTTCAATCTATCGCGCTCTGGTCATTATTTCAACGAAAACAATCTGTTTTTAATAAAAAATCGTTTATAAACACAGGCATTGTAACTACGATTTTTCGTCCATATTATAACGCTAATTTTACTAAATATCAGCATATTCTGCCGTCCAACACCAGTCATAGTTACTAGATTGTGAAATTTTTTTCCAGTAAATTTGCACGCTACCGACTCTTTTATAAGGCAACAACTGAACAATCTGCTCCCGAATCAAAACTGAATAGGAATTGTTCGCCGGAATGAAGTAATTTCCTAACCAATATACCAACTTGAGAGACATTCACACGTCGATTAGTAGACGAGGTGCTGTTTTCTTTACTATGTACTTGCAACAGGATAACGTGATGCATAATGCCCAATTGTCGAACATTTGAAGCAACTGATGGGTTTTTAATTGGAGAGAGATTTCTCAATGGAAGATTCTTCATGTGAGCCTTTAAAGTTCACAAGGTTGAAGGTGTTTTTCTTGAAGCGACACACAGAGCTTCTGTGACCCATCTTGTTGCAATTGAAGCACCTCACTGCCGAAGGCTTCGTCTCGGTTTGGCTGGAGATTCCTCTGATTGATTACTCCGTTCGACGAAAGATATTTTTTTTATAAAGGACACCGCCTTGAGTTCTCGCTGCATCTTGTCTTTAGTCTCAATGCAAGACGTATATGACAAGCGTTGCACACAAGAGTTAAACTGGGATATATGAGCCAAAACCATAGAGATTGCTATTTGTTCTTTGGTTAGATTTTTCCAACAGGTCACTAGGGACGTCATCACAGAAATAGCATACGCTGCAAGACGTTCGTCTTCTTTCGGTTTTTGTTGGCTTAGGTTAATTAGATAAGCAGCGGGAGTCTCTGGATAGTCATACTTGGCTAGGAAAATTTCTTTGAAGTCGTTCCACGTCATACCGGAATAGGCGATTTGAGAGAGCCAGATGGAAGCTTGACCCTCAGGGCACGAGTCAATATGATCATTGTGGTGCGCCGGACAGCGACTTTTCCGAAACACATATATCTGCTATGGCCTCCCGAGCATGAACATGGACGTTAGTATTGGCAGGATCGAGCAATTGGAACATCAAGGGGCGAAGTAGGCTTTAACGCTTGTAAAGCCGTTAAAAGATTTTGATTCTGTTGTTCCAACAACCGCCATGTTGGCTTGGGCTGATCCCACTTCTGATGTCGAAACGTCCGTATTATTAAAACCTCTAAAGCCGTCATTCGGAAGAGATATTATGCAAAAATTATTATATTTGGTCGAATCGATGATGGTCCTCGATGTGCATTTTTTATTTTTGAAAATTGAATCCTTCGATGTCTCTCGATACCTCTCGATATATCGATATATCGCTAACGACTCGCACGTGTTCGGATCACACTGATTCCATCCGAGGTTGAACAGATTGATGTTTAAACCTGTCGTTTGGCCGTAGACCTGGACACATATACATATACGTTATTAAACCTAGTCGGTAGAAAAATAAATCCAAAAATTATGCGGAAACAAGTTAAGCATTTTTCATGTTAACCAGTTTCCTTATTCATTAAAGATTATATGCTAAGCATTATCGCTATAATTAATTTGCAGTTTGCGTGAATCATACGCAGACATTATATATTATATGAGAGACATGAACTTTATTCG